TTCAAAAATAATAGTTACATGTGATAAATTAGGACTACAGAATATTCTAGAGTACTTTATGCTAAGTTTGCTAATAGTAAAAACGACTATCAATGTTCTAGAAGTGTTATGGAAGATCTTTACTTTCAGGTGACCAAAAGAATCGTGATATGTTGATCTGATGTACTGGAATTATCCTGGATACTAGGGAGATCATATGGTGAAATTTTATAGTTCAATAACAGTTAGAAGGGTTTTTACCTAAACTATTAATGAAGTGATAAATTACTCCTGAAATTGCTCTTAGAGTTTTAGAAAATTCATAAAATAGAGATGAGCGAGTTAAGTAAAAATTTAGCTTTAGTGAAACATTTTAAGTATAAATTATACAAATGTTTAATAAAGCATACATATCTAGTTTGACTAAGGATTAAAAAAACAACAATAATATTAATTTGTTATTTATAAATATATATAAGTTGTTACAATTTTCTTGTGTTATATTTAATGACGGATCCCTAAAGTATTTAGCATATAAAATTTCGCAGATCACTTATGTCCTTTTTTGAGGAACAAAATTCATAACTCTTTACTTTAATAGGGACAAAAATCAGGAAATGCTATAAATCAATGATTTGGATAATAAAGAATAATTGTGTATAGTTTTTTTATAGTTATTGATTTAAAAATTTTAATGTTTCTTAGTGAGGGACATTTGACTTATGTCCCTGCCTCCTCCTTTAGGGACTCATCTTTAATTATATTATTATTAAATAAATCTATATATAACATTTTTGATAAAATATTTATAAATTTGCAGTAATGACCTGTGGGCAAGAATATTAGAAGTTGAAAAAGTTTTTACCTGGATCTTTAACGGAGTGATAAATTACTTCCAAAGTTGCACTTAGAGAGGTAATATAATCAATACATGTGAGTTAGTTAGAGAATTAACTTTAACATTTCATTTAATATGTACAGCCTACAAATGTTTAATAAAGCACACATAATTAATCTGATAGATGATAAAAAAAAAAAAAAAAAGATAAAATATTTGTAAATTTAAAAAAAATTAAATCATATTTTTAATAATAATAATGATTATTTTTTTTTTATTTTTAAAACAAATATTCATATTTTTATAAATCCCTTATTTTTTTTAGATTTTTAAGAAAATTTATTTATTTCAATCTAATTTTAAATTTTTGAATAGTCGAATATTTGTTAATAATAATTGATTAGCATAAAACAAGATGATTCCTGAAAAAATTTTTATTGATTATGGTTAAAAAATCTAAAATGTTAGTTAAAGAATAATTATTCTTTAACTAAATAAGATTTTCATAAAACATATATTGATACTTATATAAGCTTTTAGATAATAAAAAGATCATGTAAACAAGACTAAGGTTTAGGTTTTCATACTTTTATCATACAAAATATGATAAATATATTTATATATAGAAAAAAAAAGTAAGCTTCTTAAATTTTAAAATAAAATCTTTTAGAATTAAGTTCTTTAAATAATAAACAATTTTTTTTAAAAAAATTTTTAAATACGCTTTATTAAATTCTCCCAACAATAATGTATTTGAATAATTATTTTTAAATGAATCTGAAGACCCACGACAGACGACAAGATCTATAGAATTCAGAGTTCTTTGACACGTACATGGATTGATATTAAAACTATTTTTTATGTCATTCTCTAAGGTTTCTTTATCCTATCGCATAACCTATAAAGTGAATACAGTATAATCAAGTCTAATTAATTATTATTATTTATTTATTTATTTTTTTTTTTTTGAATACGTTATGACCGTGGTGGCTTCTCCTTGTAGACGATAAGCCACACAAAAAGAAAGTTCAGAGATTTAGATTAAAAAAAGAAAAAATTATACTTGAGCCTCTTTCGAATGTAGCCACAAAATGAGGTTATATTTTAGTTGTAAAGCAAATACAGTATAATATTATTCGAAAAAATGAATTCAACGACGAGATGGTTGTATAGTGGAGGTGCAATAAAATTATACTGCCCTTTTGGCCTCCTTTTATACTTTTATACTTTTTTTTTTTGTCATACGAGTGTCGTTACGATCTTCCGTGAAAAGCCCGAAGGATTTTGCGCACCGCAAAAATGTTCGAGTCAGCTTCTCTGTTTGTAGCACAATCAATCGAGATCAGATGGTTTTCGCAACATATAATGAATGCCCTTCAACATCAGCATTAATACAACGTTTCTGCTTCATCGTTTTGGGAAGGTCAACATGGTAAAAATTATGTCGTATGATATTTCGGGATCCCTTACGTTCACTCGCAAAAGCCTTCTCCGCCAATCTATACGATAGGTATCACCCATTGGAGGTATAACGAAAAACGCGTGTACACAGAATCATTACTGGGGATCATTCGATTTTTTCATGCAATCTTCTTGACTGTCTCAAAATTCGGTGCAAAAAGTCTCCGTGGTATGCGATGGCTTAGCCTTTGACACGTATGTTTTAGGAATAGCTTCTACCACGTTATCTGGGAATGAATGAACAACAACTTACTTTAGAGGGGTGAGCATACGAATATTCTGACGTGAGCCCCAATTCAACTTTGCTGAAATAAAAACTTGATACGCTCTGCTCTTCTTCGTAGTACTGTATTCGGTTTTCCTGAAGAATCATCAGACTTCATTTTGTCCAGTGACTACGCTCCTTCTTGGACACCTTTTGATTCTGTTTCCTCCAACGATCGAGAATAAATTCCAAAAAAAACAAATCCAGCATTGCCATCAATCCTTTTGCAAATATGTTGTCATTCGTGAATCGAAATTTTGTTGTCTTACATGCGACTCTTTGCAATAAAAAAAGAGCAATAGCATCATGTCATCTCATTAAACATAAATAATATAAGCCACTATAAATGAAGAGAGTACTTTGTTCTACAATATTTTACATGGTTGTTGCTGTTGCTTGTTAGTCTCTAGCCACAAGATGCATCTTTTCGAACCTTTGCTTACCACACCACCACCACAGCCACGAAAAGGCCCCTTAGCATCCTGACTCTTCTCGAAATTTATTTTAATAAAACTATTTTTTATTTACTCTTTTTTTCATCTTTTCTTAATTTATGGAATTACTCTTTTGTTCACTTTTTTATTCATATCGGGCTATCCATAAATTCTGACCTACGGTTCGTTCGTAGTTGAAGAATTATTAAGAAAATCAACTTTATCTTTATTTCTGTGGTTAGTTGGTAAACATTTTCTTATTCGGTAAACATCCCACCTCTCCGCGTTCCTTTCTGACTTACCCTGAAAATTACTTAAAGATTTCTAATGGAAGAGGTCGAACAATTCTCTAACACTAATTCATACGGTCAATCCTATGAGGTAGGATCAATCCTCTTTTATTTATGAAAGGTCCTTCATCATAGAAAATAATCTTTCGCGAAATGCAAGTGATCGAAATCTCCATGGTCGTCACGTGAACAACAGGGTGTCATTTACTTATGTCTTTCGTAATATTTAACCGACAGCATTACGGCGGAATATCAAGGAGATCATTTAAAAGAGACTCATCAGGTCCGTACATATATTCAAGTCACGAAACTGTGAAGCGAAGTGCTGATGCAATTGCCGACGAATTTTCGCGCTATGGTCTTGTGTACATGGTGAAACGGGATCAGCAAAAGCGGGAGGCGGTCCCATCGTCAGCGAAAAAACGGTTGTATAAACGCGATGCAATCAATAAAAAGCGAACCACCTCCGAGACAAATACAACGGTGGCCGAGATCATTGCAAATTACAATAACTACAGCAAGCCCCTGATCATCTACTACAGTTCGGATGAAGAGAAGGAAGGGTACTTAACAGAACTCCAAACTATATTCGTAAACCCGGAACCCGCTAAACTCAACGATGATGGATGGCCAGATAAGAGTGTTTATGACCCGGACAAGGATGAAATGTTTTGGTGGCGTAACGATCCGGTTGCGAATCAGCATCATGAACATTGGCATCTGGTGATGCCTTCAACCATCATCGACGGTACCGGTAAAGATCGGGAAGGAGAAAATTTTGTTTACATGCATAGACATATGTTGTCAAGGTGAGTGACTCGCTAAATACGTAGGGTGATTAAAAAGGTCTGACATCATCCATTACATTCTTCGTGGTCAGATATGACGCAGATCGTATCGGATGTGGTCTTGAACTCGTCGAGCCACTTCCCGATTATATAACTCCCATACCCGAAGCTTTCTATCCAGATCCTCTGCTATCCCAAGACAACGATTCGGATCCCTCGACTCCTCGTGTTTGGTTTCCAGCCCGTCCTGTCAATGAAAGAATTAAGGATATCGGTATTTTACACGTCTCGATATTTGGTGGTCATAATAACACACCGTGAACTAGTTTCACTCACTGTAACATCGTATCGCAGTTCAAGACATGACCACGTATTTTATAATCTACACGGTTGAATTCCTGACCCATACGCGTGATGAATTGATCAAGTGGATCGATCACAATGACACCACCGATCATACCACGGAACTGGGGTGGAACGACACGGAAGCTGTTACTCTCGGCAGTAAGCTTGAATTGATATTGCACAACATAGGGCACGCAGTGCTCGGTTATATTATGCATCCGTATAGCATGGGTTGTAAGTGTCAAACGTTTTCACCGCTGCTCTTTGATTTTTAATTTGACAGTGAGATTCAAATCACGTTTTTTCAAGGGGCGCCGAGTGTGCTGGTCGGCGCTCGTGCCGGATTACGCGATCCCCTGTTCTGGATGTGGCATCGTCATTTGGACAACATCTTTGTGAGGTGGCAAAATCACTTGGGTCCTAACGACTTTCAGAACGACGCTCCGAATGTCACTATTCGAACGACCGACGTTTATCTCGCTTTTACCGACTTACTGATCAAAATTGCTCCTGAAGGTGTAAATGACGAATGGCAGTCGTTTGGCGACAAGACCTTTGGCGGGGACTACTTTGACATCGAAATTTCTAATGAAACCGTGATCACTTCGGAATTGCAAACTAAAATGAAAAGTCGAACCTTGGTATGGAGAGAAGATAATTTTGACGAGGAAAATATCACCTACGTCTACCCAAGGGATTGGCAATATTTTATTAGAGTGAAGAATGATGTGGACATTGTAAATAACTTTCGTTTTATCGCGTTTTCGTGTGCACACGCATCATCATCAAAATAACCGGAA